CCATGCCGCCCCTTCTCTCGCCCTCGCAAAGCTGCCTTCATGTCATGAACTGGCCCCCTGTGCCATTTTCCCGCAGGGACTGAACGTGATGGGCAAGGCAGTGTGAGCGTGCTGGCCCTCTTGGCAGTTCTGTTTCTCATCATAAGTTAATATTGTTGATTCTTTAGCTCAGATAGCAGGATAGGAGCTGTGCTGGTCTGATGGACTCCCTAACACCCAATATATTGCTTCTCTCTTAATGCTGTTAACGTAAAATTTACAAGCCTGGACTATGATGAATTTACCAAAGTAAATGTCATCCCTGGTACCACTTGGCAGCTGGCCAGCCAGCTGTCCTGATGACACCTCTGTCTCCTGAAGCACATTTCTTCCCAGTCATGTGCTTCCTAGACACATTCATCTCACCAGCTGTCTTCCTCTTTATCCTTCCCTGTCTCTTCCCCAATGACTCTCTCTCTAACTCTCTCTCTCTCCTTTCCACCCTCATCCCTTAACCTTTCTTTATTCTTCCATACCCTTTGTTTCTTTCATTTCTCACTTTAATTAAATATGGAGCAGAGTAATAGGATATATCAGAGCTCTGTGCCAAGTACAATGTTGGGCTATAAACTAAAATTTGCTTTCAGTCAGCATGGTAGCACATGCCTGTAATTCCAGTATTCTGAGAGGTTGAGATAGGAGGATCACAAATTGCCCAGTCTAGGCAATTTACTGGCTTAGTGAGACCTTGTCTCAAAACAACAACAACAACAACAAAGGGCTGGAGGAATCTGTGTGAAGGCCCTGGATTCAATCAACAGTACCACACAAAATATTCTTTCTTGACTTCATGATAGCTCTAAATTAGCTTCACAATAGCTTTTATTTTATTTTACAGCAGAGAAATTGAGGCTTATAAAGTACAGGTAGTTACAATTTAAATTTTAAAGATTTTCTGTTTAATTTTCAATTAGTAAATTAAATACCTTATGCTTCCTTTTCCATAGAAAATTCAATTTGAGGGCCAGCCAAATAGCTCAGTGGATTAAAGCTCCTGCAAACAGGAGCGGGGGCTGGGGGGTTCAATCCCAAGCCTGCAGTGCTGGCCCTGCCCCTGGGGCACACTGAGACAGCAGTTGAGACTGGACATGGTGGTGTGTGCCTGTAATCCCAGCTCTTGGGAGGCTGTAAACAGGTGAATCACTATGAGTCCAATCTAATAGTGAGACCCTGAACACCCTGTAGACCTTTCCCTAAAAATACAAAAGAAAGAAAATTCAATTTGAAATATGTTGGTGGGGCCGGGGAGATGGCTCAGTAGAATAAGTGCTTGCCTGGCAAGCCCAAGTGTGTGAGTTCAATCCCTGGTTCCGAAAAAAAAAAAAAAAAAAAAAAAATATATATATATATATATATATATATATATATATACCACCACCTTACTTTTGGTTGTGTTTTGACTGTTCCAGGAAAAAATCCACCTTGAGTGTGTTTATTCTTTCCTTAGACTGGAGAAGGAAATGAGAAAGGGATAAGGAAAGATATATTTTTGTGGTACTGGGAATTGAACCCACACAGCGTTTGTGCCCAGCTACATCTCCAACCCTTTTAAAATTATTTAGTAGAACTACATGTGGTTGGCACACTGTATTCTACTGAGGACTGAAACCTCAGTCTTCAGACAGGAGCCACCAAGAGTTTGAGACCAGCCTGGGCTGCATAGTGAATTCAAGATCAGCCAGAGGTATACAGTGAGACCATGTCTAATCAACCAAGATGCCCAAGCTAGGCAGCTGAATTTGTGACTCTCCTGTCTTTGCTTCCCAGAAATCTGAGGTTTCAGGTGAGTACTACTGCAACCCACCTTTTTTTTTTTTTAAGTGGGGATGGAGGTGACAAAGTCTTGCTCTGTAGTTACAATGATTTGATGTGCCCCATGTAGCCTGGGCTGACCTCAAGCTCCCAACCTTCTTTCATCAGTCTCCTGAGTGCTGGAAATGCAAGAGTAAGCCACCATGACCGGCTAGAAAGAGACAACTTGAAGATAGATCTGACTAATATAGCTCCTTTCTGCTCTTGTCCTGCCCTGTCCTCTTTGCTCAAAGCATGACTTCACCCTGATTTCTCTGGTGAATCTTAGTCTTTCCCATGGAAGTCATGAACTCTGCCTCATAAGGCTGAACAAAATTTCTGTATTTATGAAAAATAAAGAAAATAATTCTTCAACACCTATATCTGTAAACTTTCAGTAATCTTGAGCTGCAGACTGTGTTTGTGTTGGGTGTGTTCCCTAAAAGCTCACTTCTGATTATTTTGGGTGTTGAATTAGGCTGCTCAGCCCCAGCAGCTATTCTTCTATGATTCAAAAAGATGGTGAGGCAGAAGAAGAAACAAGAATGTCCATAGCGCTCCAGTGCAGGTCTGGAAGGAGCAGAGGAAAAAAGCCAGGCTGCATCTAGATGTGTTTGAGCCCCCTCCACACTTACTCCAGGGTGCGAAAGGTGCTTGGCTCCTAGAGATGATAGTCCCAGGATCTTTTTCTAGGCTGGAGGAGTAGGCAGCAAAGACTGTTTCAGAGTGCAGCAGCAGTGAAGTACCAGGTCCAGACCCTGGTGGTTCAGCACCACGGACAGAAATCGGGCAAAATGGGCCTGTGCAGGCGTTCAGCATCGCCCCCACCCCCACCCCCATCCATAACTATTTCAGAAAGGGACCTAAACTGAGTGACTGGCCTCTAGCACTTAAAGGTTGTGATAAATGATGGCTTCATTTCATTCTAAGGGCCTCCACAATTTCTTTACTGAATTTTTTATTCTGCAGACTTTTAGCAGTCAGATCCATGTTGGAGCAACTCTTATTAAGATGTGTTTAATTTGTATATATCCACATACAGCAGGGTTTCTCCGTTCTAGTTTTAATATAAATGAATTGTTCAAAGGAAACCGGATTATTTCAGGCCTTTATTCCTGTTGCCTTTCCCTATTCCTACTGCTTCAGTCTGGCATTTCCTCCACATGACTGCAGCCAGACTTCCCACAGCCAGGGGTTTGTTGGGAGCATTCTATATAGCTCTCTCCAGTTAATTTCCCCCATCTGTTTGTCTTCTGAAAGATCCTTGAGAGGCTCAGAGGGAGTCTGCATTTTATTGTTGCGCATAGGGTCAGAACCTTTGAGCTGAAGTCCCTCGAGCTCCCATGACTGGCGCCTTGGAGACTGCTAAAGAGATGGGACCCGATTTTGAAGAGAGGAGAGAAGGCTGGTGCAGTGAGAACTCATTCCGATATGAAAGAGTCCTGGGTCTCTAAGCAGCTTCTAAAAATACCATCTCCCAGCGCTGGGGGCAGGGGGAGGGGAAATTGAGCGTGAGAAGAATGGAGATGGGAAGGAAGTGGGGATGTAGGAGCCCTTCTTCAGGTAGATCTTATTTCAGAGGCCCGCCTGCATCCAGGAAGCGGGCAGGTGCCACACCCCTTCTGCTGCCTCAGCGGGCTTCTGCCTCCCGTGGTGTGTGAGCCCCGCCCCCATAAGACCTTTCTAGGAGCAAAGGAGACCAATTCCTCCTACCTATTCCTCCTATAACTACATATTGTCTGATAGGCATGAATATGTGTGTCTGTGCACATTCTATGTACACACATGTGTGCACAGGCACACAGAAACAGCACACGAAAACAGCTTGTAAATGGCCAGTGATCTGGGAAGCCAGGAATTTTCACTGCGCTCTTCGCTTAGAGAGGTATAGAATGTGGCAAAGATGGGGCACTCAACCCCCCCCCACATATCCTGGGCACAAAGCATGGCACCCAGAAAGTGTTTGGAAGGGCAAGGAGTACACATATGCAAAATGACACAGACACTCGGACCTTACAGGCCAAAAGGATGCATGCAAGTCTCCCAGTCATCTCTAAGCTTCTCCAGCTACTATAGCGTCTAAAGGGAGAGGAGGTGCGTTCCCCCAAGATGAGAGCTCTGAAAAGCCACAAAGTGGGTGGAGCTTTTGCCCCTCAAGTTCAGCTCTGATGGTGAAAGATCAATAGCTGCCGCCTCCTTCCTCCTGAAGAGTCCTGGCCCTTCCTACCACCGAGCGGTTAAACCCTTGGCTTGCACATAAATGACCTTCAATAAATAGAGGTCGTGTTCCACGTTTTCTTGCAGCTTCTCTAGCGCCGGCTGAACTCTGTCTGGGAGAAGGGCTCCGTCTCTTGCAGAAGCCTCGGATTCCCGGTCGCTGCACTCCTTGCCAATCTCCTGGTTGGGTAGATTGGGATACTCAGTGGGGACCCCAGCCTAAACAGCCTGAAGACGGAGGTGGGTGTGGGTTGTGCTGAGATGGCTTGACAGTAGAACCCAAAGAACCGATGGTTCTGCGAATCTCTATCCCAGGGTCTACATTTTCCCAGCCTTCGAAGCGCTGCTGATAGGGTGGGATCCTCTCTCCCACTTGGATCTCTTTTTCTGAGCAGTTCCTGTGGTCGAGGTTCGCCCATTCCAGAGAAAGAGAGAGAGAGAGAGAGAGAGAGAGAGACAGAGAGAGAGAGAGAGATCAAGCCGTGATATACCAGGTGCCGCAACACAGCAAGAAGCCGAGGGCTGGGAGGTGAAGCGATCTCAGAGCGTAGGGTCAGGGCACTTAGCTTAGAAATCCTCGCAAGTCCTGGGAGCCGGAGGGCTCCCAAGCTAGCTCGAGGCTGCAAGAGTCGCTGCTTCCCAGCGGGCCTGCCCTTCTTAAGCCACGCCCACATTGCCTACTTCTGAGGAACGAGGACTAAGGTTTAGCGCCCTGTACTACGGGTGACAGCCCATCACACTCCCCAGCAGCCTCGCTCTTGCCCGGGGATGCCCCACCCCTACGGCTTGGGGATTTTCGGGACCCCTTCTTTTCTCCCTCCAGTTAGGTGTTCCGCCCCTGGCCTATGAAACTCCACCTCCCCACCCTCTGCTGGCCCGGATTGGTGGACCTCCCGCGGCGATGCCTAGTGATTGGTCCCCATGGATGATGGTGACCGTCAAGGCCCCGCCCCAGCCCGCGCTAGGGTCTGGGGGCGCTGCTCAGCGGCGCTGGGCTGGCGCGGCTCGAGCCGCGGCTGCACTGACAGCGCCGTCTGCGGACCATGGAGACTGGCGCCGGCCCGCAAGCGCTGCGCCTGCTGGTCTGCCTGATGCCTCTCTGTCTCGCACTGCTTTTGGGATGCGGGCGGCCCGGGACTGCCGAGGAAGGTAAAGAGACTGGTGACTGCTGGGAGCCAGCTCTGTTAACAGATTCGGAGCCAGTGACAGAGGCACCGGTGGGAATCGTTGGGGAGACTCGAGTCTGTTTGGAGGGTGAAGAAAGCGGGGAGAGGGCGGCAAAGAATTAGAGAGAGCGCGAGGAAGGGGCTAAGCGATAGGAGCGGAAGGGCGTTGAGGATCTCGAGGCTGCAGACCTAGGAGGGTCGGGAAGAGACCAAGGAACGGCGGGAGCCAGGGACCGGTGAGACGGACAGGCTGAGTGATGAGAGGTGGGAGTTGGGGGGGCGGGGAGAGGTTGAGCTCCGGAGAGACGAGATGCGGAGGTGAGGTCGGAGTGTGAAGAGACAGGATGGAGCCCGAGCAGCGGGGCTCGGGGACCACTGTGAGGCCATCAGGAGGTGGAATGTTGGACTGGGTGGCGGGCAGCCGCAAAGGCTGGGCGAGGAGGAGCTGTCCGCAGTGCTGAATTCGGAGCGCAATCTGTCTGGCGAGGACCGCGTTGCCGGACTGGGGGTTGTCGGCTGTATCGAGAGTCTTGTCTCTGATTCTGCATTTGGGGGAGCTGTAGGCTCAGCTGAAACCAAAGGCGTCATAGCCAGGTGCAGAATCCTGAGGATCTAGAATTGGGCATTGACCATAGGATTGGTCCCATCGCAGATGCCTTCCAGTATGTAATTCCCATGTGCTGTTACTTGTGTTAAATCAGCACGCTGTCAGAGTCCTGCCCACCATCGCGGATGCCTGTGGAGCCAGTCCCTCCTAGAGGCTCTTACCTAGGCGGCCCACCTTCCTATTTAATCTTCAGATGAGTAATCCTCCAAGATTTTGGGATAGCCTGGTTTCCTGTTTCCAGGCTACTGGATCTGCTGTCCAAACCCGTGCTTCTCTGTGACCAATGCTGAGAAAATGCAGGCTGCTGATCTGACACTTCCCTAGGGAATAAAGTGATTCCAAGCTTCTCTAGTGTGGGAAGGGTTGTGGATTATACATAAAAGGACCACTGATATTCTTTCAAGGGCAGTAGAGATGACAATCCCTGGGAAAGGTGCTGGTTGAGTAGATAAGAGATTTTTATTTCCCCTATTTCCTAGTAGGATGTTACCACTTGGTTTTCCCCAGAGGCCCCGAGAATCAAACCAGGAAAATTTAAAGCTCCTCCACACCTGTGACCAGCCTTCAGAAGAGCCCCTGAGTCTGAATGGATTTGGGACTGTATTCAGAAATCCCTCATATACCCATTTTCTCTCCCTAATGGACACTAAGTTATTATTTATTTATTTATTTTATTTTATTTTGGCGGAACCGGGGATTGAACTCAGGCCCTTGCGCTTGCCAGGGAAGTGCTTATTCCACTGAGCCATCTCCCTGGTCCCCACTAAGTTATAATTTAAGGGACCTGGGAATGATGAAGAGGGTCATTGTCTCCCTACCCGAAATTTAAGAGCTGGCCTTAGGGCATTTGGCAAGGATTTGTGGAAGGCTGAATGATACCCCTCCCCAAAACTGTTCACATCCTAATTGCCAAAACCTGGGAGTCCTACTGTAAGTGGCAAAAGGGAGACTTTGCAGATGTTGTTAGAGATTCTGAGATGGAGAGGTTATCCAGGATTATTTGGATGGGTCCAACATTATCACAATGCAATAGCCCTTATAGGAGAGATGTAGGGATGCAGGAGGAGCCAGAGTCTGAAAGGAAAAGGTGTGATGACAAAAACACTGACCAAAGTGATGCACTTTGAAGGTGGAGGAGGGGCCAAAATCCAAGAAATACAGGTGGCCACTAGAAGCTGAAGAAAGCAAGAAAATTGATTCTCCCCTCATAGCCTCCTAAGGAAGGGAGCTGACCCTGAGACTTCTAGGAAACTGATATCAGGCATCTGACCTCTAGAACTGTAAGAGAAAAAAATCATGTTGTTTTAAGATACTAGCTTTGCAGTAATTTGTTACAGCAGCCCCAGGAAATTACACAGACTCTTCCCCTAATCACTGTGGCTTTGTCTCTCTGGACTTGAGCTATTCACACCCTCCTTACAGGGATTTATGCAATGGGAAACATTTTGCCACATCCTCTAGCCCCTTGCTTAGCAAAATCACAGAGAATTCCACAGAGATCCTACCCTCCTAAATGGACCTTTTTATCTCTGACATCTCTGTTCTCCTCTCTCCTTAGTCATTCTTCTGGATTCCAAAGCCTCCCAGGCTGAGCTGGGTTGGATTGCACTGCCTAGCAATGGGGTAAGTGTAACATCATTTTTCCCTGCCATGGGGATTTTTGAAAGTCTGGGACTCAGCCATTCTAGCTCCCTATACTCACATCATATCACAATTCATCTCAACAGGTGTATAGCAGCCCTGGTGTCAAACCAAAGTGGCCTATTAGAAAATGTTGAGGTCTGGGGTGATAACTCAGCGGCATAAGTTCCTGCCTGGCAAGCTCAATGCTCTGAGTTCAATCCCTGGTACAAAAAAAGTTGAGTACTTAGCCAGATAGATAGATAGATAGATAGATAGATAGATAGATAGATAGACTGGCTGTGTCCAGGAACAGAGGTATGTGACTTCTAGAAGGAACTACTGCTGGACAGTGCCTTGCACACAGTATTATACTCCAAGCAGTATTTTCTAGTGGTTGACAGAGCAAACAAGGCATGGGAGTCCTGAGGGAGTCTTGGAAGATGGACTCAGGCTGCAGTAGTGTAGGTTATCGCAGCAGTTTGGTATGGTGCAAAGAGCAGTGAATGGAGAGCTGAGAGACTCTAGGAACCCTTCTAGCTCTGCCACTAACTCAGTGTGCATATGTGGTCAATTCACTCTCCCTCTGCAACCTCCGTTTCCCATCCATAAAAATAAAGATTAGTGTCTGCTTCACTAGCACGTACACTAAACTTGGGGTCCTACAGAGAAGATGAGCATGGTTCCTGATCAGGGATGACATGCAGATTCATGTATTAGCCTACACTAAAGAAGAAAAAAAAAAGGACCATTTATTTCCAAAATTTCTTCTAAACATTTGGGGCGTTTAGGGTAGTGAGAGGGAAGACAGGGGAGAATAAAAAGACTGAGAAAGGGCTGATGCTTGACCCCCAGTGAGTGCCTTGGATATGAGCAGTCCCCTTCTTCATTCTTTGTCCCAGTGGGAGGAGATCAGTGGCGTGGATGAACACGACCGTCCCATCCGCACATACCAAGTGTGCAATGTGCTGGAGCCCAACCAGGACAACTGGTTGCAGACGGGATGGATCAGCCGCGGCCGTGGGCAGCGCATCTTTGTGGAGCTGCAGTTCACACTTCGCGATTGTAGCAGTATCCCTGGCGCTGCAGGCACTTGCAAGGAGACCTTTAACGTCTACTACCTGGAAACTGAGGCTGACCTGGGCCGTGGGCGTCCCCGCCTGGGAGGTAACAGACCCCGCAAGATTGACACGATAGCAGCTGATGAGAGCTTCACGCAGGGTGACCTGGGTGAACGCAAGATGAAGCTGAACACAGAGGTGCGTGAGATCGGCCCGCTTAGCCGGCGAGGTTTCCACCTGGCTTTCCAGGACGTAGGCGCATGCGTGGCACTGGTCTCCGTGCGTGTCTACTACAAGCAGTGCCGTGCTACAGTGCGGGGCTTGGCTGTGTTCCCAGCCACCGCGGCTGAGAGCGCCTTCTCCACGTTAGTGGAAGTGGCCGGGACGTGCGTAGCACACTCGGAAGGGGACCCTGGTAGCCCTCCGCGCATGCACTGTGGTGCTGATGGCGAGTGGCTGGTGCCTGTGGGCCGCTGCAGCTGCAGTGCAGGATTCCAGGAGCGTGGTGACATCTGCGAAGGTATATGGTGGACTGGGAGGTGTGGCGTGGGAGCCCAGAGCACAGGTGGCAATTGGGAGATACAATGCAGATAGGAATGGAGGTGCTATGGGCTCTGCAGCTGGGGAGGGAGGGTCATCATCTTTTGTGAAAGTTCTAATAGACCCAATGAGTGAAGTTGCTAAGAGGTAACACTGACTCCATACAAGGAGGCTCAAGGGACCTGTATTTCAGACTGTAATAGGCAGCTCACATAGGTCTTTTCACTTATTCACATAGCAAACAAATCATCATTGTCATTTCACAGATAGAAAACAGCCTCAAAGAGATCAATACCTCACTTGCAAAGTCAGAAGATGGGAAACCAGGATTTGAATGCAGGTTTGCTCAGCTCTCAGGTTCTACCACACCATGCCACCTATCCTACACATAGGAAAGATCTCTATAGCACCCCAAGCTTTGGGCTAGCATTGTAGGGTGTGAGCTCCCCAACACATGCAGCCACCTACTATATGCTGTATATGTCAGAGGCTGGCTGGGGTATTCTTGAGCTCAAGGGAAAGTGGGAGGTTGCACCACATGACTGCTAAGATCCCACTCAACTGTTTGAACTAGAATCACTGCGTCCTGGGGCACTCCATGATGGGTTTCTGATGGGTCCTTTCATTGGTGGGGACATTAGAAACAGACCTCTCCTCTTGGGTCTGCAGCACTGGAAGCAGGGCATAAAGATGGGGTTGAAAATGTATGCCTTTAATGTAGGAAGATCAAGGGATGCAGTTTCTAAACCAGGTCCTTTTTGTGTGCTAAGACAACAAATGAATCAGACATAGTCCCAGCTCTTGAGACACTCATGTATAGATGGGGAAAGGCAAGGGTTAAAAAAATCACATAGGGGTGACATATAACAGAGGGATGCAAAGTGGTGGGAAGGCAGAGGAGGGAAAACTAAACTTGTTATGATTGCATTGTTCAATCATCCATTCAATAGGAATACATTTATTCAGGTTTACATGTATATAGATGAATGCCACCCTCCATCTCTGGGAGAAATCATGCTTTAGTAATCAACTTAGAGGCAAGAGCCTTCCAGAGCTCTCCAGGATCTTGTCCTGTGCTCTCTAGCTCTCACTGCAACCTCTGTTTGTATACTTACCTCCATGGTATACAGTGATTTAGTTACATGAATTTCCACTACTAGACTAGAAACTTCTTGAGCCCAGGCCTGAGGGGGTTATTGGTCTCAGCAGTCCCAGCATCCATAGCAGGATATGATACAGGGCAGGTGCTAAGTGGGAAGGGTGAGCAAGTGGTTACCATAGGTTGTGATGCATGCCAACAGAGAACTAAGAATGCATGGAAGGGAACCCAATTCTAAGGCTGAAGAGCTTCCCAGAGAAAGTGAGAAAGCTTTTATTCTAGGCAGCTGAAAGTGTCCTGGGATTAGCAATTGTGTGCCGAAGCCTGGTAGCCTGATTGGTGCTAAGCCAGTGCAGTTAGAACAGAGGGTGGGTGTGGGTGGAGAGAGGCTGGGGCAAATCATGGAGAGACCATGAACATCAGGAAACAGAACTTAAGCTTTATACTTTAGAACAATGAGTTGTCTTTGTTACTTCTGTCTCATTGTTGGGATAAAATACCTGACACCCAAAATGAAGGAAGGAAAGGTTTATTTAGCTTATAGTTAGTGGAGGTTTCAGTCCATAATCAGCTTGCTCCAAGGCACAGTGGCACATGGCAAAGGGGCAGTAGTTAATGGCAGCAAAAACCAGCAAAGAACAAAGGGAGGAGCAGTGGCTGTGGCAGCTAGCAAGCCTCTCTCAGCTCCTTATATTGTACTCAGGCTATCTGCCCTGGGGCAGGTGCACACTCACACCCATAATCCCAGCATTGGATCATGAATTAATCACACACTCTAGAAGCTGCCTCAGTGACTGCATGAGGCTTTGGGGGGATAACTAGACACAAACCATAACAACCAATGAGTAATCAAGCATGTTCAGATTGACATATTCCAAAGACCACTTGAGCTGCAATTGCAAATAAAGGATTGGAGAGGAAGGCTTAGAGGCCAGAAGATGAGGAAGAAATAGTGTAACAGTCCAGGAGAAAAAGGATGGGCTGTTGGACTAAGGTAGTAGCAGAGATCCTTGAGAGCTAGTGATGAACATGATTGGGATATAGCAACCAAAGCACTTAGTGGCTGCATGACACAGGAAACAGGCATCCTTTGACTCTTATGCTGCTGGGGAACAATGGACAGAAGGATCATTCACTGGCACAGAACACAGCATGTGGCTTGGCAGGTGCATTGAGGGGAGGTCGCAAGAAAGTGGGGTTGAAGCTTAGAGCACAGGTACTACTTGAAGCTGTGGCTAGTATATAAACCAGGGGAATTATGGAGTAAGAAGCAAGAGGGCCAACAGTGCAGATGCACAGAGGAGCGATATTTAAAAAGTGGCAAACCAGAGCCCATTAAAAAGACTGGGGAGTAGGATGAGGCTGGATGACAGCCAGGAGGGGGTATGTGAAATCCCAGGGAGATGGTAGGGTCCAGGGGGGAGCAGTCTACAATGTAGCTGAATAATCAGCCAAGTTGGGGATTGGGCAGTGCCTACTTGGTGTTCTTCGTGAGGGCAGTTTCAGCTGATTGGAAAGAGCACATTACAGCTGAGAGTGAAGGACACTGAGGCATTTCAGGGAATCAAGAAGCTTAGATTTGAAGGGGTAGAAGAGATGGCATCTTCAGGAGGTCACTGGGTAGAGAGGGTGTGTGTGTTTGTGTATGCTTGTCATTTGAATATAGTCAAAGGACTTTTACTATAGAAAGATGAGTCTAGAGTAGAGATAGATGGGCAAGTCTTCAACAGGAGGTAGCTGTCCCTTCCTTTAGGACTGAAAATAAGGAAAAGGGAGACAAGTGTGGATGGTGTGTGTGGGTTGATGCCCAGATGCTGAGGGAATTACCACTGATGGTTTGTCTTTAGGTAGGAAGGAGAACATCTGTACAGTGGGACAGTCCGATTCTTCTTTTGTTCACTTCTCTAGGTATTTACAGCTACAACAGTCTCTGGCTCATTGTAGATGATAAAATTATGAATGAGTCAGACGTTGGGGAAGGTTTGGATCTATGCTCTAGGACAACACATGTGTGCAAACAAGCATGTGCAACCACGCGCACGCACGCACACACACACACACACACACACACACACACACCCTGAATTTAAGTCTACTTCTAGTCAGTGCTGAGACCCCTTCCATTGGCTGAGACCAGACAAAAGCCATAATGGCCTTGTCTCTGCCCTGGGAACAGGATCTAGGGACAATACCAGGAAAAGGTTCAACAGGGAGGTGCTATTTGAAGTGGGATTTGGATAATTACTGCACTACATTACAGGAGGAAAAGGGGTATGTTATGAAGCAAGCCCTGAAAGTGTGACAAGGAGAGTTTGTTATGGCATGGGTATGATGACCATCGGTGAAAGTTGTTGGGGCATTTTAGAAGAGACATAGTGGTCAGCTGTGTGTTTAGTAAGCCCGGACCTTCTACGTGTCTTCTGCAGCTAAGTACATACTCCTCTCAAGAGGTAGGTGGTTGTGGAGGAGAGAGTGCTAAGATACTCTTTCCCTTTTTTGGTTTCTCTCTTTACTGAAGTTGACTCTTGTTCTCCTCATTGTCATTAGAGGAATTAGTGAAAGAACTAGGTTCCTCTTTGGGGGAGAATCTGAGCATATGACTTGCATCTTCAGATCTTTGTGGGACTGCACAGAAGTCAGGGCCTCAAGCAGTGTAAATCCTCTGAGGTTCCACAGGGCACATTTGAGCTCCTGCTATGGGTTGGCGTGAGGGGAACTACTGACAAGAAGGATAATTTGGGCTCTTCCTAAGAAGTACTTTTTAACTGTCAGAATCTACGAAAGCAGCCTCTGAAGGAGATGAGCTCCTCATTCTGCAGCATATGAGCAAAGGCCACGGCTGCTGCTCAGACAACTGCTGGAGATCAGACTGAGGCAGCCGAACTAGATGACCTCTGAAATACTGACTCTGACCTTGAGGAGAGGAGGCAGGTGCTGGCTCTCAGGAATCCCTTTCTGAGCATGCACTGCAACACATCACTCTTCTAAACACAGCCTCTAAGGCAGAGATAGCCATACTGGCCCTGCTGGGACCACACAGACAGCAGCTAGAACAGCAGCCCTTCTTGTACGCACAGGGTTGAGTGCCTCCAGCATTCCTCTCACAAGGCCCTGAGACCTGGCACACAGGGTCATCTCCCCCAAGCCTGCCCTGGCCCCTGCCTTCTTCATAGCTCAGGCACACAGGCTGTTACTACTGCCCCATTTAACTAAATCCAGAGAGGTGCAAGGAATAGTCTGGCTAATGCCACACAGCCCAGGCCTTCTGAGTCCCAGCCTCAGAAGTAGCTGGGCCCATGATTCATTATTAAGGCAGTAACTTCCAAAGGCTCTGGGCCCCCGAGACCCTCTCCCAAGCATGTTGCCGGGGACTCTGGGCAAGCTGAGTCCTCTGTCCTGAAGACAACAGGTATTCTCAGCCCCTCCCTCTCTCAAAGACAATTCCCCCTGGAGCTCTGCACCCCTGCTGCTGTACTAGGCCTTCTTGGAGCTGGACAGCAGCTACCTTCAATCACCAGCTAAACTGGAGGGGAGGCCCAGGGTGCAAGGTGAGGCCCACCAGAGCTCAGAGAGGAGGGGCCAGGAGCCACTGCATCCCTCTTCCCCCTCTGGCCCAGCTGGAGAGAAATTGTTTAAAGTGGGTGTTTCTTCCTTTCCATGTCAGGCCTGTAAGAAAAGAAGAATAATTATCATCATTATTGTGTGAGAGTAGTCAGTACAGAGCTCATGTTTTATTTCAGTCGTGTTCTGTCTCAGTGCCCTCCCACAAACCTGGCAAAGCTCAGACAGGACAACTGACATACCCAAAGCCACACAGCAAATGAGGGGTAAAACCCCGGTCATTCAGCTATATATATAAGCCCATGCTATCAGTAGCTGTGCTTTGGGTGAGGTGGGGAAGGGAGAGAAGCAACTGAGCAGGTGTCAAGCCTAGGGCTGGACTCTTGGTTCAGGAAACTGTCCAAGTCTCTCTTTTCTCTCCACCCTCCTCCAACTTGTCTGGCTCTGCTTCCAGAGGACAGGCCAGGGTGTAAGTTGGGGATGCATGACGCACTAAGTGAAGGTGGGCGATGGGAGCCTGGCATAGTTAGCGTGTGCCAGAGTGCAGGTGTGGGTGTGTGTCCGTGGGCAAGTGCAGGCCAGCCTTGCGGCTCCTGTCTTTCATCCTTTTCTCCATCCCAGTACCACTTGGTTCAGCTCATTTTTGTCTAAGGAGTCTTAGAGCAGTGTGATGTGGCCTTGGAAAGGGTGGGCTGGGCTGGGGGCCAGCAGCTGGACAACTTAAGCTCAAGAACATTAGTCTTTTCCTTGTTAGTATTTGTGCTGCCAAAGTGAGCAGTCTCTTCATTTTAAAAATTGGGAGGATGCTGGACATGCTGATGAATGATTATACTCCCAGAATTCAGGAGGTTGAGTCTGAGGCAGGGAGATTGCTAGGAGTTCAAGGCCAGCCTGCGCTATATAGTGAGTTGAAGGCAGGCTAGAACTATATATCATGAGACACTGTCTCAACAAACAAAAACTCGGTGGAGTCATGCCTCACAGGTTGGCGGGAGAGGCATATGGAAAAACCAAATGGACGATTACTGTGAGGACCAAGGGGCTACGCTGCAGGAGCTCAGTCCCCAGTCCCAGAAGCTAACTCTCACCCCTTCCCCCCGACGGGCACAGGCAGGAAAGGGGGAGACTAGCTGTGGAGGAGCCCCTTCCTCACCGGCCCCTCCCCGCAGCCTGCCCCCCAGGGTTTTACAAGGTGTCCCCGCGGCGACCCCTCTGCTCTCCGTGCCCGGAGCACAGCCGGGCCCTGGAAAACGCTTCCACGTTCTGCGTGTGCCAGGACAGCTACGCGCGCTCGCCCACCGACCCGCCCTCAGCCTCCTGCACCCGTGAGTGCCCCTCCCGGCCAAGGCCGCTCGGGGGGATTGGGGTGCCTATGGGGAGACCTGGGGCTCGGTAAGGGGGGACGACCCAGAGTGTTGGGGATAGGACAAGGAGAGCAGCCCTTACGGGGAGTGAGAGGAGGCCTGGGAGGGAAGATGCCACTTGTAGACCCGAGGGCCAGGTTGGGATCCCGGGCGGTGCCCCCACCCCCCAGTTCAGCCCCCCTCCACCCAGGAGAGCCCCGCCCCCAGCCTGTCCCCAGCCTGCCCCCCTCCTCACTCCGCCCCCTGCCTGGCCCGCTGAGCGCCTCCTTCCCCGGTGCACCCAGGGCCACCGTCGGCGCCCCGGGACCTGCAGTACAGCCTGAGCCGCTCCCCGCTGGCGCTGCGGCTGCGCTGGCTGCCCCCGGCCGACTCCGGCGGCCGCTCCGACGTCACCTACTCGCTGCTGTGCCTGCGCTGCGGCCGCGAGGGCCCGGCGGGCGCGTGCGAACCGTGCGGGCCGCGCGTGGCCTTCGTGCCGCGCCAGGCCGGGCTGCGGGAACGCGCCGCCACGTTGCTGCACCTGCGGCCCGGCGCGCGCTACACCGTGCGTGTGGCGGCGCTCAACGGCGTCTCGGGCCCGGCGGCCGCCGCGGGAGCCACCTACGCGCAGGTCACCGTCTCCACCGGGCCCGGGGGTAAGGCCAGGCCGCGCCGCGCCCGCGTCGCTCCACCCCGCCCCACCCCGCCCCAGCCACCGCAGACGGACGCCGTGGGTGCCAGGCCGCAAAGGGCCGAGAGCCCCGAGGCCCCGCAGCGGTCCCTAAATCCCAACGAGGATGTGAGCACGTGAGCGTTGTGGTGAGGGCGGGAGCCACGTGGCGTCCCCGCCCCTCTCCTGGACGCGTCGCGGACTGCCCTCCACCCTGCCTCTGATTTCCCAGAGGAAAAAGAGATGGGAAGCCCCTTCTGCCATTCCTTCAAACACAAAAACAAACCAGAACAGAACACAGTAGACGGCCGAATCCTTGGTCCTATCCTGTGTCTCACAAAAAACAGCCCAGCGCTGTGTCCCCTCCCTCCGCGCCTCCATCTGGCACGCGGGTGGGGCGCGGCTGCCACGCTGCGGGTTCTAGAAAAGGGCAGGGAAGTAGGCGGGGTCAGGCCGCTGGGGCTGGCATCCCATTGGGCCCACACCGTTCTGAGTCTGGAATTGAGGTGAATAAATGAAGCCTGCCACCTTTATACTACCCCCTTTTCACTCTTGACATCTAGTTTTGATTTGTCTCCCAGCTGGGGTACGCTTTCAAGTAATCCCTTAGGCGTCCTTTGCAAGAAAGATAAGTGAGTGCTGAGGTTTCTGAATTCTTTTCCTATCTGAAGAGATGTGATTGCTTTGCCACCCCACTTCCCTGTCTCCTGGGACCCTGTTTCTCTGTCTTCTGGTACTTGTATAGTCAGCAAAGTCTGAGGTTAGGGTTTCATTGCTTTAAGTAGCTTGAGTATATGCGTGTGCACACATACTGGTGTTTGAATAATTCCTCAACCCACTGATGAAAATTAACAACGAACCTATATGGATTTCTTTTCTTGGAATTTGCCTGGGACACAGTAACCCTTTTGATCTGCATTCTTCCCCAGCCCTGCATATACACATCCCATCATGGAAAGTTTTCTTCAGTGACTGCTTTAACTAGAAGTTTTGATAGCTCCTTGAATCTGTCTCTTAAAACTATCGCTAAACCCTAGGCTGTACAACCATTTTCTGATTCTCAACTCTTGTCACTTCCTTTATCGTTTTTTAGTTTTCTTAATCTATTTCCTGTGTGTTTTGAGAGATTTCCCAGTCTGCCTGGTTTTGTGCAACAGCAGTTCTGTTCTTTATCATCTCTGTTGTTATTTAACTTTTGCTATTGCATTTTCACTTAAAAAAATTAAGTATAGGACCGTCACACATGCCTGTGATCCCAGCACTGTGGATGCTGAGACAGGAATATCACTGAGTTTGATGCCCACCTGGATTATGCGTGAGACCCTGTCACAAACAAACAAACATTCTCAGTATAAGAAAAAGTAACTATAATCCTATTACCCAGGCATAAACAACTATGGTTATCTTGAGGTATTTATTTCCCAGATTTTTTTCTCTATATCCATGTCCATAACTATCTACTATAAATTCTCCTTTCTAATATATATTATACTGACTTCCCATTTGGCCTTTCACATTAACAACGCTGTTCTTTTGATATAGGAGAAAACACTTCCATTTTCATTTGATTAATAAAAATGCTAACTTTCTAACAGAGCACTATGGCACATACTTGGGAAGCTGAAGCAAGAGGAACCCTTGAGCCCAAGAGTTTAAGGCCAGCCTGGGCAATACAGGGAGATCCCTATCTCAAACACAAAAACATGGGCTGGATATATAGCTCAGTGGCACAACACCTGCCAGGCAAGTGCAAGGTCCTGAGTTCAATTCCCAATACAAAAAACAAACAATGAAAAACCAAAGCACTCAAAACACTAAGCTCCCGTTGCCTGAATGCTGCTCCGTGTTGGGCACTGTGCATTACAAGTTTCTATATCAACTCACTGAAGTGAATTCCATCTATCTTTCAAACAAGGAAACTGAGGTTGGAGGTGCCAAGAGAGACCCAGGCACTGAGCCCAAGTGTGTCTGCCACTGAAACCCTGTGCTTTGAACCCTGAGGCCACCTAATGCTTCTATTTTTTACTGGACTTTTTTTTCTCAAAGATCAAGAATGGATCTGAATTTTATAAACTGCCTCTTAAGCACCTTTCAAGATGACCATATGTTTTTCTCCTTTGACCTGAGAGTATGAGGCTATCTACCCAGGTCTCATTTATTTATTTATTTATTTATTTATTTATTTATTTATTTATTTTTTGGTACCAGGAATCAAACTCGGGGCCTTATGCTTGCCAGGCAGGCTCTGTGCTGCTGAGCCGTATTCCTCGCCCCAGATTTCAAAATGAACCCTCTGCATCCCTGGGTTATATCCTACTGGGTATGAATACTCTCACTAGTTTGTTGAATTAATTTGCTCCTATTTTAAGATTTTTCTCCCACTTACATTTTAAAATCTTTATATTGCTGGAGTTTGAACCCAGACCCTCATGAAGTGTTCTATCTCTGAGCTATGCCCTCAGCCCAATAAATGTATATCTTAAATTTTCAGCCAGGTATGGTGGTGCACACCTATAGTCCCAGCACTCAGGAGGCTGTGGTAGGAAGAGCATGTGAGTTCAAGGCCGGCCTAAACTCCATAGCAAGACCCTGTCACACACAAAAAAAAGTTTCTTTCCTAGTATCTTGAGTTTCCTCAGTATCTCTGGAACTGGGATTAAACTCAGGCCCTTGCGCTTGCCATGCAAGCGCTTATTCTACTGAGCTATTTCCTGCCCCTCCTATCACCTTTTCATCATCCCTAAAAGAAGCTGGTTAGCACCCAGCCATTCCCCATTGCCTCCAGCATCTGGTAACTACTATTTACCTTGTCCCTCTATGCTTGCCTGTTAGGGCATTTCAGTATGCAGTAGTATGTCATTTGTGAACTTTCAGGTCTGACTTCTTTCACTTAGCCAGTTCTCAGGGATCATCCATTCTGTCCTGCATATCAGTATTATGTTGCTATTTATGGTTGAATGATATTCTGTTGCATGGCTATGCCACGATTTTGTTTATCCATTCATTCACTAATGAACATTGGCCTGCTATGAATGATGTTTCTATAAATATTTGTGTTGGAAGTCTTTTTCTCTCATGGACAAATTTTGTCTTTGTTTGTACATTTGTTCACTTTGCAGTGCTAGGGTTGGACCCAGGGCCTGGCTTGTGCTAGGGGAGCAGGCAAGGGCTCCGCCACCATGGTGAGCCCTAGTCCTCATGTAGAAGGCCTTGGGTGAAGATATAGTTTTCACTTTTCCTGGGTTTGCCCTTAGGGGTAGAAAATGCTGAGAGTTCCTTAAGAAGTTAAATTGGATCTCAAGGACCCTGTTCCTATAGGACCAGTGTCCTGATAAAGAAGGAGGAGGTCCACGGCTCCCTGGTCTCTGTCCAAGGGTGCATGGAGGAAAGGCCACATGGGGACACAGGAACACGTGGCTTTCTGAAGTCAAGAAGAGGGACAGAAGACAGAAGACAGACCTCCAGGCATGTTGCACTGGGACTTCTAGCCCCCAGTAATATGCAAAAGTACATTTTTATCATTTCAGCTACTTGGTCTATACTTCACTGTCTTATTAAGGTAAACTGAACTGACTAAATATGTATTGTAGGTTTTTTACTTTTTGTTTTGTTTTAAGACAAAGTCTGGCTGTGTAGTTCAGGCTGGCTTTGAACTCACTCTGCAACCCACACTGGCCTCAAACTCAGGTTATCCTCTGGCCTTGGCCTCTGAAGTACTGGGATTACTGGTGTGTGCCACCACACCAGGTTTTTAAAACTTTTCTTTTAAGGACCACTTAATTTTTTTTTCATTTGTAGTACTGAGGATTGGACTCAGGGCCTTTACACTGAGCTCTATCCCTTCCATCCCTTCCTTTGTTTCCCCCTCTCTTTCTCCCTCCCTCCCTTTCTTCCTTGTCAGGCTCTCACTGAGTCATTAGGTTGCCCAGGCTGGGGTCAGATTTGGATTCTCCTGCTTCAGCCTCCCAGAATGCTGAAATTGCAGGCTTGTACCATCATTCATGCCCAGGTTACCCATAAAGGCCTTATCAGATATATGATTTGCAAATATTTTCTCCTACTCTGTGGGTTGTCTTTCACTGTTTTTTCCCGAGTGTTCTGTGAATCATAAAAAAGCATGTAATTTAGATGCAGTATAATTTGTTTGCTTTTAAAAATCAGTTGCTTGTACTTTGGGTGTTATTTCTAACATTAAGTATTATTACCTAATCCAGGATCACAAAGATGTATGCCTATATTTTTTCCAGTATTGTGGTTTTGAGTCAAATTATTTTAGAGGATATATTTTTCACTTCCAGATGCATTGCTTTTCCTTTATCTTTTCATTTCTGATTTTACTCTTCTGTGGTTAAAAAGAAAAAAAAAAAAAGATTTTTGAGGGCTGGTAAGATAGCTCAGCAGACTATCTTACTGTCTTGCCTTACTTAGGCAAGTGCAGGAACCAGAGTTCGATCCAGGGTGCCACATGCCATGCTGGCCCCATCCCCAGGTATGCTGAGCTGGGCACTGAGACCAGGCGTGGTGGCCCACACCTGTAAACCCAGTACTAGGGGGCTGAAAACAGGAGGATCAGTATGAGTCCAAGCTGCGTAGTGAGACAGCATACATAAAAAAATTTCCTGGGGCCCACCCACTCAGGGCTCCCCTCCTGTCCCTCTCTCAGACAGGAGCTTTCTTTCCCTCAATAAATATATTCTGCTCATAAAAAAATTTTAAAAATAATAAAAAAGAATTTTGTATAACTTTTCCTCTTTTAAAATAGCCAGGCACAGAGGTGCATGTCTGTAATCCCCACACTCAGGAGGCGGAGGAAGGAACACTGCCAAGAGTTCAAGGCCAGCCTGGGTTACAGTTACATAGTGAGACCTTGTCTTTTTTTTTTTTTGAGACCTTGTCTTAAAAAAACAAAAACAAATAAAAACTTTTATTAACTTTGGAAGTTTTCTTTGCCATATGAGATGTAGCAAATAAGTACACTGTATCATG